AAAAAACTGCTAAAGTTTAAAATTAAGCAAATTTACTTGCAAATTTATATAATATATGCTTTTAACTACACTCATATAAATAAAATCAAGTAAAATATGTTTTAATTTCTATGAATAATAAATAGTAACTGCCATAAAGGACTTGTTATTAGTATCGGTTGTCTATATATCAGTTGTTAATGCAACATCACCAGGAAGTTTTTGTAATCTTTCACATAATCAAATAAGTTCTTTCTCAAAATCAGACACAATATGTCATTTGATTAGATCAGCTGAAAGTGCTATATATATACAGAAAATAAGAATCTCATAAAGTAATATAAAGTAAATTATACTTTAACTCTAATTAATAATAATCAAATATATTAAAAGTCTCTATATATAACTTTATATAATATTATTTAAAATAATATTATATAAAGTTATATATAGAGACTTTTAATATACCTAGCATAACTATTGCATCAGATTTTAGATATATAAATTCGATCTAAGTTCAGTATCTTCGATCTTTTTTTTATAATCCAATGTTTAACCATATTAATAAATTGGTCTCTATTAAATAGTTCACATGAATGATTTATTAATCTAAATATAAGTATTTAAATTATTTTATTTTATTTATTTTTTATTTATTTATTTATATTTATATATAAAAACTTACGCCTAACTTATTATTTAACATATTACAACTGAGATACCTTCTTTTTTATTCAATTTATTTAATTCAGGTATTTTGGTCTTGTAAGAATTAAGATGCCTTTTAAGATATAATGTCATTCCATGCTGATATGCCAACTTCTGATTACAAATCCTACAAATTGCGTGGTTTTCTTTTTTTTGAAGTATTTCCATACAAAAGATCTATGAAACATACTATTAATACAATATATTAAACAATATATTAAACAATTACAACATTTTAATTACCAGGTATGGTAGAATTACTGCTATTTGACTTTGTACTTGTGATGATTTACTAACTACAGATTTATCTAATTGTAACTCTGGTTCATGTTCTTCCTCATGTATTGGTTCATACTCTTCCTCAAGTATTGGTTCATGCCCTTTCTCATATATTAGTTTATACTTTTCTCAACATATAGATTCATAATCTTCCTCATAAAAAGATATAGACTGAGTTGACATTACAAAGAAATAAATATTTGTTTCAAAAAAAAAAAAAAAAAAAAAAACATAAAAAACAAAAAAAAAAAGGATCGTATAAGACTTATTTAAAAGAATCATATAAGACTTATTTAATAAGATCGTATAAAACTTATTTAAAAAATAATATGAATCTTGTTAGAGCAAGTAATGGTTTTTTTTTATATATTATTACTGACCAATAAGTGTACTATATAGTATTGGGTATTCGATTATGACCCCTATGTGGATCTAAATTTGATGAATCTTATAAATCATAGATCTGGGTCCGATCCGATAGGTCAGATCTGATTCAGATTCAGATCTTCAGATCAGATCTGCAGAATACTAAATAAAATAACGATAGTTGAGATTTGGTAGACTTTTCTTTTCTTGATAGAAATTATATTAGTTATCATACTATAAAGCATTCTTGATGTTAGAACAACTTTGCCTATATTTGTTATTGTCTTAAAAGATTATCTTAATGATAATTCTAACTCATTAAAGTTGTATTCTCTTTATTCTAATTAAAGAAAGTGTTGTAGATCTTAATTGTTTTCTATTTATAGAATAAGATCCTGGCTTCTAAAAATCTAATTTCTATTTTTCAAGATAGAAATGTCCTGAGTGCCCTGAGTTTATAGATCATTACACAATTTAATTAAAGATTTTTTTTATATATTTTACAATACTTTTTTCAGAAGCTTGGGTAGATTATCTCCTTTATCAAACATTGCAAATTATTAGATAAACTTGAAGCTCTTGCCCTGACTCACAACATATTCAGTTAATCCCTGTTAATCTCACAACTTTCATATTATGCTTTACCGGTCAAAGTTGTAAGCAATTAACTACTGCTACACTAACAAAATCTCATTTGTTAAACAAAAAAAACGAGAAAAAACATAAAATAATGATTAACAATGATGGTGTAGAAGGAAAGAATAGTTTGTATATTTTTTTTATTATACATGCTAAATAGAAATCTTTTAGAAAACTGAAAACATATAAATAATATTAATTAACTTGTAATTTATTAATTGGCAAATCACGAGTCATCTGAACAAATATATTTTTTTTTATATATAAATTTTACTATAAGCCCAAATGTGGAGTGTGCCTATCTAAAACTTTTTTTTTACTAAATAAATCACTCTTGGGCTTGTAACAAAAGTAATTTACTTAGTAAAAAAAAAAGTTTTAGATAGGTGCACTTCACATTCAGGCTTATAGTAAAATTTATATATAAAAAAAAAAAATTTGTTCAGATGACTCATGATTTGCCAATTAATATTATCACTATAGGAATTTTTAAGTTACAATAAAAAGTTTATATATAATATGTGTTAAAATTTCAAAGATCTTTTATAAAAATGATAGTTGTGTGAGATCGTATAGTGTGAAAGATTAGAAATTTGGGTAGATGTAAAATTAAACATAGAATAAAACATAGAGCTGTAGAATTAGGTATAGAATTAAATATATATATACATAGATTATTATTGAAGTCTTGTAAATAATTATTATAAAAAAATTAATAATCTTGATTTAAATTAATAAATACATACTTCTTATCTAACAGTAATATTTAATAGCATTTATTTTGAATGTTAACCATAAATTTTTATTAAAATTTATTTTTTTTCATTTCATAAAAATTTATACTTTGATTGGCTAATCAACATGTATTAATTTTCACATGATAAAAATTTATGATTTTAATTGGCTAAACTATTATGCATGATTGAGATCATCATTTCTTTATTTGAGATATTCCTACCTTGATTCTATTTTAGTATTATTGATTTCTGAAAATATTTGTTGTTATTTATAATAATTTTAAGCAATGAATTGTTTGAATATAGCATTTGTTTGTATTTTATATTTCTGAATCATGTATTGTATACCATAGTCCTTCTCTATATGAATTAGCATTAGTGATATTAAACTATTCTACCG